AATGGCGCGAAAACGTTCCAACGTCCAGGAGCGGACAAGGGAGCGACCGAGGACGCCAGCCCCAGCCTGTCGGGTAACACATGGTCGGGGTGGTAGTCCAACGAGGCTCCCGACGGCGGCAGCGAGCCGCGGCGTCAGCGACGTCAAGGTGCATCCATGATCCGAGAAGACAACCACACCAAGACGTATCGGCCCAGACCCAACAGGTGGAAGGGCACCGGATGCACGCTCCCGTCGAAACGCGGCGCGCGCACAGCACAGTGTCACAGCGCAGTCCAATGAGACGGAGAGCACAGGCGGAACGAGACCGTGTATACCCAGGCAAGTCCCACAAAGCCACTGATCCAAGGTCGCGGTAGGAAGCCGTCCAGCAATGACGTCCAGAGGGCACCGATCCATGGAGCAGGCTGACTGGGGACAAGTACCAACTGAAAAGCAGACGGCGAGCCAGTCGCAACGCAAGAAGCGCATCCAGGGTGTGGAGAGTGATGACTAGACAGAACACCCTCACCTGAGATGCGACAGCCCAGATCCGACGAGTGGAAGGCAAGGAAGGGCACGATACACGGCAGACCCCTAGGGGTGTGCACATCAAAGGTGGCCCAGCGATACCCAGCCGAGTCGTCTAGCACAGAGGGGCGAGGACGTCTTGTACCCGAGACGTGTCCCACAGAGCCAACGGATCCAGGGCGACGGCGGAAGGCCGTCCTTCTTGTTTGAAAGGTCCAGGGCGACGGCGGAAGGCCGATCGTTCGGTTAGAAAGTCCAGGGGGGAGCCAGTGGTCAGGCGGCAGTGGCCCACTGACAGGCCAGGAAGGCCTGGCGGTGAGACAGCTACAGTAGGGCCTGAGGCCGCGAGTCCACTGCGGAGAGGCGGTGGACGGCATTGCCGAAGCGCACACCTGGATCCAAAGGCAGGAGGTGCGCGCATCGGGCGGAGGGCGGCAGAGCGCCGCGATTCGGGACCAGCGGCGCGGCCTGGGCAGCGTCCGCTGGGATTCAGGAAGTGAAACATGTCGGGGAGAGAGGAGCCGAGTGACAAGAGGGCGTCGGCCACCGGCGGAGAAAGGCAGCGATGCCAGTGGCAAGTGGCATGCAGGATGCGTGGTGTCACGCACGGAGCAGACGGTATTACCGAACGGCACCCCAAGGCCACGCCTGCCAGTGATCCTCACGCCATCCGTCGCGCCACTCGCCCTGCCAACTGCCCCAGGTGCCCCGGGAACTTGTCGCACGGTCGGGCCAGCCCGCGTGGCGATAGCCGCCCTTGCTCAGGTCGTCTGTCTGGGAGTACCGCAGGTAGTTGGCTCGCATCTAGTTCCAGTCGATACCATAGCCCAGTCTCCTGTCCATCTCGTAGGCATCGTACCCGCAGTCCTTCCAGGCCTCTAGGAAGTTGATGATATCCTCGGGCATGTGTAGTTTCGGGTCGGACCTGGGCGCCCCCCATCCAGGGGGCAGGGTACGCTGCGTGTTCGCTGTCCACAGTGCGCAAAAGACTGCTCCCAGCTGTGACTGATGCCTGGATATGCAATTGGCTGGTGTCTCGTCGGGACGCTCGAGTTCGACGGTGCCCAGCCTGACTGCGTACATTGGGACGCCTCCATCAGGGCAGGACAGCATGTTGAGTGCGCCCTGCTCCGAAGAGCCAGTGTGGCGAGAGTAGTGGGCCTCCGCTCACGGGGCGTCGGGGTGGGCGCGGGAAGGCGCTCGTACCGCGAGGTGCCATCGTCGCTGGTCCTCTCGTGCCTCGCGGGGTTTCGAGCTGGAGCCCTCCCGCGATCGGCGTAGGGCGCGCCCTCTGTGACTGAAGTCGCGGTATCCTCGCGGCTGGTGTCGGAGCTGCCCGCCGACGGGCTACGCCGTGGGCCATCTCCGCCTGAGCGATTCTCATCACCCTCCTGGGCCGACTCGGAAGGCGTGGGAGGACGGGCGGGTCCATCCTCTTCGTAGTCGGGCTCCATCTTGTGAAGGGGGAGCCCGTCTTCCGCGCCTTCACCGCTGTCGTCGTCGGGCGGGTCATGGTGGCCCATGCGTGAGTCGTCCGCTGAACCCTGAGACCTGTCTGCGTCGGCCGCCATGGGAGTATCCGGCCTGTCGTCACCACCAGAACACGCACCAGATGGCAGGGACCCTGCCAGGGAGGTGATCTCTGGCGCCGCGCCAGAGCTGCCTGGCTGGGTCCAGGGGATTGCTTGCTCCGACCTTGGTGAATTGGTCCTGGGCTTTGGCGTCCTCGCCAAGCCACGGGAGGAAATCCACGATGTCCACGGGTGCCTCGAACCCAATCTGGCTGCTGAGCGGGGGAAGGGCCGGAGGTTCATCTGGATACAGCGGCCTGAAGTCGCGATCCAGGATGTGGTCCAGGGTGGCCGGGCCAATGTTCCAAATCGGGACCAGACAGCGCCGGCAGCACCAAGTAGCGTTCCATTGGCGCCCCCACCAGGCCAGGGCACGCTTATCGATGGGGGGCAGTCCATGTTGCTCGGGAACTCCTATG